ACAAACCACGTTGAGTATTGACAGTAAGCAGCCCTTTTGATGCTTCATCGACTTCCACTTGCAAATAAGCATCAGCTAGATAGGGCTTTGCGAAAAGCTTTCCCCCACTCAGCATAGTAAACAGATCTGCGTGAACGGGCAGAGGATAATGATGATGTTCCACAGCTGTAGATAACTTAGAGATGACTGAGATATTTAACATTTATTGGTCTCACAACTCCCTCACTTTTTAGACACCTGATTCGAACATTAAGCTTTCTCATAGATATAAACTTTATCCTCATTTGTTAGCACATCTTGCAAGTAACAGAACCAACCAGCTCAACTTAAACAACATGTTTGAAAATTCGATAACAGTCGTAGCTGTAGATGAAATAAACCACCAAGTACCAATATATGGATATCAGAGGACTGAAAGGAATTCTCTTGGAGATCGCGATTTTGCTCTCTCAGACGGTTTTGAAGATCGTTATCGTAACTAAAACATGGCTACCTGCCGACATTACAGACGACGAAGCGCGTCTGCAAGGCATGACGATCTTCTGATGCGATCGTATGCAAGTGACAGGACGATGAGTGGCAATTTACTATAATAGACTTTGCAATCCTGAAACACTAAACGGAATCCAAACTAACCTACGTTACAGAATCAGGCTGCTGTTGCTTCAAGAGGAATGACTTGATCTGGCCTCTTCCCAGATGTACGTGTATCGTTATGCTGTTTTTTCTTACGTGTCTTAAATTCGAAATCTTATACAATAAATATCAACGTACTAAATTGTAAGTTATAAAACAATGATAACCAGAGCTTATTAAACACATAACCTATTTCTATCACATAGTTGACGTCTGCAGTGAAGTTTACTGTATCCAACTATATGTATATCTAACTAAAATCTTAAGAGTGGAAGTATTCTAAATTGCTCTGTTATTCATATATATATATCCATCTAAATAACGAAACAATCACCAGCTCATGATAAAATTAATACAATTAATTGGAATTGTATAAAGATTATTCAAAAAGGATTTATAAAATACTCATAAAATATTTCATCATTTCATGTGGAAAAAAAAAATTCTGGTATTTGATCTAAATTAGAATAATTTTAAAATATTACTCATTTGATCTTATGTGAATTAATTTCAAAATCATTTTGAGTATAGTTTAATCAAAGTACAACAACCGTTCTCTAATTTCATGACAATTTTAATAAAATGAAACATTTTAGTATATATATATATATATATATATATATATATATATATATATATATATATATATATATATATATATATATATATATATATATATATATATATATATGTAGAGAGAGAGAGAGATAGATAGATAGATAGATAGATAGATAGATAGATAGATAGATAGATAGATAGATAGATAGATAGATAGATAGATAGATAGATAGATAGATAGATAGATAGATAGATAGATAGATAGATAGATAGATAGATAGATAGATAGATAGATAGATAGATAGATAGATAGATAGATAGATAGATAGATAGATAGATAGATAGATAGTTAGAAAAAAACAATTGAATGACTACATTAATTGTAAATTTATTAATCTTCTATACACACATGATATGTGCATAAATTACTACCAGAAACTGAACTGTTTCTCGTTAATGGGTTAATTGATTAGTCATTAAACCTTTTCTCTTTTTTTTTTAAAATCAAATTTCTACTATTTTTTTACTATTAGTACACTATTAGCAAGTTAATTTAATGCTGTGACAAAACTATGCAACTTTTACAGTAAGCTGAACATTCCAATTTCTTAGTCAATCAATGATGCACAGTGTTTAAAGTTAATAAGAAACTCTTCATTTCTATCCATTTATGCTAGTTTATATCAGGTTATCGATTGATCCATTTGTCTTTTACTGTTTTTAAGTTGAATACCAAATAGTTAGGTGGACAAATTATCAATATTTAAAAAACATTTCAAGTGAAATAATTCAAATTTTATCAACGAAATATTCATTATTATTACAAATGCTGATAATATTTTGTGCAAGTAGAGATTGCCTCCTAAAAGATATTTTACAATTAATTACTGACAGTTTAGACAAATTCATTCAGTTGATGAAACTTTCTTACTCAGTAACGGTATTGATTTCTGAAAGAATATACTGACTCGACAGATTTGGAGTTATTTCGAATGGATCTAGTTGTGAGACACTAGAACCAGAAAAATGTTGTGTACGTGAAAATTGTATTAGAAGAAGAAGTCCGGGGAAGATAACTGGATGAAAGGTTGAAATGATTGAAATCTTCAACTATTAAGATTATTTGAAATGGAATTTTCACGAAAAATGCCTTCTTAAATACCCATCATCACCTAATGTTTGTTAAACTATTTATTCAAACCTTGCATTTAACCAGATAATTAGTTACACAGTTACTCTACATTATAGTGAGATATAGACGGATATAGCTGCGCGCTGATAGGCTAATTCCTATTCAATCAGCGTCTGATCGATACTTGGAGATCGATACTCATGTTGTTAGCTGCACAATGATTGGCTAAATCTAATCAATCAGAACTAGTTGATCACGTGGATTATACTCAAGAAGATTCATATGTAAAAACTAAAAAGTTACTTACGTTGTCTTCTATTTGGCCTTCGCTTTCGCTTCGGCTTCTTACTTCCATTTAACCTTGCTATTTCCAATATAAATCTTTCCTATTCAACTATGTTCCGACTTAGGCACTTGTCGAGTGTATTGTCACCAGAGAATAAATACTAAGCAATAGGATTACCCAGGTTTACTAAGGGAGACTTATGACAGTATACATTAGTATGAGGAATATTTTTAAAAAATATATACATACAGTTAATAATAAAATATATGTATCAAGTTGAAGTTGCTACTGAATTCCACATTTTAGATTCTTGTTGATTGCTTCATTCAATCTAAAAAACAAATTTTATACTACTCTGTCCAGTCGTTTAGTTTAATAGTTCACATTCTAACAATGATACGGTGTAATTTACATCTATAAACACAATCAGAGCTGTAGAATCTTTTTTTGAATGTTTTGTTTTTTGGAAAATCCCTCCATGTATATAAATTTGTGTTATGATATGACTGACTCTTTCTGTTGACATTTTGGTACTCTATTTGATTCCATTTTGAGATTATATCATTGTATATTGTTATTATTTCTATATTTTGTACTTATATTGAAGTTTTTATGTTTGCTTCTGAACTGTACACATGTTGTTTAAATTTGATCTTTAATATGGCTACAGCCATATTTGGATTTGATACCGAAGCAGTTAATACTGGTATCACTTATTCTTTTGTATTTGTATACCCATCAGGGTAATTTCGACTTGGAAGGTGTATTAATTGTCAGGTAAATGTTTGTATTTCCATTTTATTTTAATAATAGACCACTTTCTCCTAGAATTATTTTGTTCTGATATTGGACTAGGGGAGGGCGGGTGCGTTCGACCTACACCTACTGGAATCAAATTGAACTGCTACGGTAGAAAATTCATCTACAACAGCTGCAATACGTTTACCGAAAGCTGAAATCGCTTCAAATGATACAATTCTGACTATGATATTGGTAGATGTATCCTTATTCAGTTTACATTTTTAAATTATAAACTCCTCTAATCTACTAACTACAATACTCATCATGAATAATTAATATAGTTTGTAAAAAATAGTGAATTAACAAATAACAGTCATTATATCGAAAAACACTTTATTATATGAGATATTCAAATTTAAGTATTATATTCAACAACTAACATTGTTCGTCAGACAACCACCAATGAAAACTAGAAAGAAATGCTATACAGTTTTTTCAAATTAGTATGAGACTAATCATGAATGATTATGCCAGATTGTAGCAAAGATCGAAATTTCACAATCTCTCACTATAACAGTGAGTGTTAAATGTTTAAACCACTGTGGTCCTTACTCTAGAATCATCTATAGTTTACAGATTCAATCATTTCTTGTCATGTCAGGTACAAGACAGTTGTTCATAAATTAGAATGAGTCCCACGAATATTACAATGGCAGATAGATATTATTTAGAATTTTAAATCAGTGTAAACTGCCTCAACAGCTAGATAGTTTTATGCCAGAGATGAAAACTTCTGTTCCTCGATTCAACTATCTGAACAACTACATTGAGTCTGATCGAAAATGATAACATGAAGAGTTCGTTGTAGGAATTCACTAAGCTAATAAATTGCTTCGATATTAAATGATCTACTGTGTGTCAGTCCCTTGTTTATTCACAGTTGTATATGCAAGTTATGGTAGATTCGTTAGCTAGACACCATCAACAGCCGTATATTGTGGAAAAGGACAAAGCGAATTCCGGCTAAGGAATGATTAAGAAAAAGCGCTGGAAGTGGATAGTTTGTGCATTGAGGAAAGCACCAAACTAAGTCATGAGACAAGCCCTCACTTAAAATCCGGAAAGCCAAAGGAAAACGGGAAGATCAAAGAGCACACAACGGCACGAACTGTAAACGGATATGAAAAGAACGAGCAGACTGGAAACGTAGGTCCAGAATGGAGTTGTATGGTGAATGGTGTTTGGCGTTCCAAGTAATGTTAATCGTATAGCCGGTAATTTAAAGCTTAAATCGAAAGACTTTCACCTTTCCTTCTTCGACCTTAAATGACACGATTTTGAATCCAATAAAAATCTTTAATAGTGCCCTAAACAAACTAAATTCTTGAATTAATTTCAAAGGTTCAGCTTATCGGGTTATTGATATTTTCACTGAATTTCTATCATTCCAATTTGACATGTGTATGCTATAGTGATTAATCTCTGTAAAATTATAACGCGAATCCACTCAGAGTAGACGGAATATGACTATTAGTAGAATTCATGTCAAACAGTTCGTCCTATTCAAGACTCGATAACTGGATATTTCTGCATCTGAAAATTGCTTTAAGCTCTCTTAGCTATCTCACTTGTACTAGTTCAAATTAAATGAAACATCATGATATGCCGATTGTGATAAATATTTTTGAACATTCAATCAACAAGGATACAATTATTGGTTAGTGTAACCATAGTGAACCTTAAACACAGTGATCTTATATGAACTTCTGTGTGTATGAGTATTTCATCTCTTTCATCATATAGATGAGCATGAACCCTGTTTGAAACTTTGTTTTCAAACTTCATTTACATAATAATAATATTACTAATAATAATAATAATAATAATAATAATAATAATAATAATAATAATAATAGTAATAGTATTCACAAATGACTAAATTTTCTTTTGTTTTTTACCTCGCATCATTATTGACATTACTTACTATATTTTGTTTCAAAAAAAAAATTTTAAAAAACTAAAAATTATACTCATATAGTGTCCATCAATGCGTTGAATTTGAATTGTGGTTTCATTTTCGTTTTTTTTTTACTTATTTGCTTTTTACTTTTTTGTTTTTTTTTTCTTTCAAAATTTTCAAATCATCCATCTTCCTTCATGAATAAATAACCAACCCATTATCATTTAAAAACTAATCGAAAAATGTGAATTTAAGTTCATTTCAATGATTAAAGTCACTTGATTTCGTTGTGTGTATTGTTGTGGTAAACCAATCAACATTGAGATAATAATATAAATTATAATAATAATAATAATCATAATAATCAGTTTTTGATATAATACGATTAAGTTCGCCTTCTTTTTCGATTGAAGAATAAAATAACTAGAAATAAAACAAGAGTTATATTCGTGAATTTGCACATCTCAACAGTACAATTTAGAACAACCATCTCGAATACACAGTCGATTTATTTGCGGATTTTTACTTATTGTTTGAATTGAAAAAACAAAGTAAATCAACAAACATTTCCAGTGACAATTTAAACAAATTAACACTGTCATAATTATTTACAAATTATTAGATATATATTTATATATATATATGTTCAATATTTTCTTGAGGAAAAAAGAAAACATGTTTGTTTAACTGTAAGTAAGCGTTTACACATTCTATTGACGTTTACTATTGAGAATAAATGATGTTGAATTACTATTTGAGAAAATTGGTTTAAACTATACCATATTCATGAGTTCCATTGTTTTGAATAAGATCAACTATGATAGATAGAGATAGATAGATAGATAGATAGATAATAACAATTTTAAATAACTTCATTGAAATTATATTCTGATAAAAATTCTCATAATTATTATGATTAATGATATTTTTGGAAAAATTTACTTACTTCTCTGTTAATTTCCATCACTTTTATAAATTTTTTCTTCGGGGAATAATTATAACGGATTTTTTTTGGAATAATGAATGAATTTTATTTTACTGAACGTTTTTGCACCAAACTTACCCATAAAGTAACCTGTGATATGATAAGTCAGCAAATCTTGGTCAACTAAAAAGTAGCTGAGATAGTTCCAGCAGTCTGAAATCAAATCTTTATGAGGATAGAGGATTATACGGTGTATTCAAAAAATTATAAAACATTCAAGTTGATTGTCGATAAGTAACAATCTTTGTAAGAATAAAAAAAATGAACAAAATGTCAATGAGCAGTGGAAACGTTTTTTTTGAGAATTTTCGCATTTCTATAATGAAACCATTCATAATAATGAGAGATGGATGATTGTTAGAATTGCGAAGCGAAAAGAGCCTATTGCTTCATTTAGAATTCTTCAGATGAAAAGATGACTCTGAATTCTAGAGTTTTGTTTCTACTATGGAGCTTGAACACAGTACCGTTCACTTCTAACGCCATCATGTATTTCACTGGAAGACTGATGCTCAGTGGCTTGTGCAATGTTGTGAAATTCAGTTCGTATGCATTCGTTTTTTCAATTATTTCAACTGATAGATTTGTAATTAGACATTTTCATTTGCCTTGCATACATCCTCTGCAGATTATCACAAGTTCGCTGTAATGTTATAAGCATGTTAAGCAGACATGGATTAGCCTGACTGGTTTGAGTTCTGAAGTGGACATAAACTCTGGATTGAATACATTGATTCTCAATGATTATCTAATATTCTTTTGTGGATTTTTTTCTTCTAAAATACATAGACATTTATATTTTTGTCTATGTTTTATTGATCTTTAAATAGTTATTCAAAGCGAAATTATAGAATCAAACGGAACAAGTGAAATATTATTAATAATTATCATTGAAAAAAATATGTGGAATAAACTTTCTTGGATGAAAATTATTTTACTCTGTGGAGTCAGTTTCCAGATTTTCATGTACAATGCAAGAGCCGACGGAAACCTGACGGAAACAGGTAATCTTTGATTGAAATAAACTTTAATGATCAGTTTTCGTTTATTCTATTATAATGAATACTGATGAATTCACTAGTGCTCAATTCTTATAGAAATATTTTCATAATAATAATAATTCAACGTGTAGCGTTCAAACCGAGTGGTCAAGATTTAATTCTTGAAGTTTCGGTGAGAGGTCTTGACCAATGTAATTAAATTGATATCATGAATCAATTGGAGTTAGACAATAAAATGTTTAGATGCCGGCTTAGAGGTTTACTAGGTTCACATTCCACGTCGAAGGTTTCTGATCTGACTTTGGCATGCACGTTCTGGAGTGTACATTGTTAAAGAGTCCCATAAAAAGTCAAGACGCTCGTCCAGTGCCTTCAAGTCTTCATTGATGGTTTATCCTTTGCCGTTGCTTGGTTCAGTTGCACTGTGAATATAAACTTTTATTTGTTTTTACTTGACATAAGCGGCTATCATACTGTTTTATTGGCAAGAATCTTGAGAAAGCTGTAATTTTAGAGATAATATTTATTGAGATAATATTCAGTAAAGATTGGTTCACTAAAACGTCCCTATTCACTAAACAAACACAAATACATATTTAGCTTTTCCTTATGATAATCATCACAATAATAAAGACAGTAAATAAATATCCTAAACTTGGTCATAGTGAGGCAAATTAGATTAAAGCATAAATGTTATTACACATAGAAGGAATTAATAGGATTGTAATTAGAACAACATATTTAGGTGAACGAAAATGGTGTTGTCGATTAGATCGTCAACAGGCTTTATTTTAATATGCATTACGGGGTTGTGAAGATTGTTAAGTTACACATTTTTGAAACCATGAATCGATCAATGTTAGACCACCATTAGAAACCTGGAAGCACTGGATGGCCGTTTCGTCCTGGTATGGGACTCCTCAGCAGTGCGCATCAACGACTCCTGCACCCCGCAGGATTCGAACCCAGGACCTTCGGTATTGTTCGCGAACGCCCTAACCGATAGACCACTGAGCCGGTATCTAACGGTGTTAATGTCTAACTTGATCATATTCACGGAGTTGCGCAACCTCATACACAGTCTTCGCTAGTTACTGTCTACACCCAAACAGGTTGAACTTCACTGGTCAAGTCTTCCCACTAGAACTCGGAGAAGATTCCTCACGAAGCTAGTCACTAGTGAGCACAAGTAATTTGCATTACGGGGTTGTGAAGATTGTTAAGTTACACATTTTTTAATATACATGAATGATTTATATGAAAGTGTTAAACCAATCAACACAATTTATGAGTTGATAATCACAATGAAATGAAATAGATTACGTTATTACACATAACAGGCAAAAGTACAAGTTGGTCGTAGGAAGACAGATGTCCTGATGATAGTGGTATGAAAAATGAAATGCGTTATCAAAAGTTTTATCAATTGTAGGTCAAAGGTCAATAAAAAGACTTAAACTAATCATTATGTAACAAGAAGTGTGTACAATAAATAGATGGTGAAGAATATCAACGGAAACTATTTAATGAAAAACATTATTGTTCGCTTATATGTGTTGTTCTAATTTTCACAATGGGAATCTTTAATATTCCTAAATAAAATATGACTTCTGAACCCTGCAGGATTCGAATCCAGTATCTTCGGTCTTGTGGGCGAACGCATGCATGACCTCCCAGCCATTGAGCCGTATCTAACAGTGTTAACGTCTAAATTAGATGAATTCACGCAGTTGCACAGCCTCATTCTCCAATATTAAATAACTTCAAATATTGATTTATTAGATTAGATTAGAATATTATTTCATACATATGTGGAACATTATTTTGTTTTACTGTATTAAAATTTTTTAATTTTTCTGATAACTAATTACAAATTGACCTTAGTATTTAAATTAGTAATGATTATTTTTTTAATTCTGTTTAATTAAATAATCCTTGATTGATTATATGTATTATAGAAATTGTCAATAAAAATCATAAAATTTTGTTGGATATTTTGTTGGTTTTGATTGTGTTGGTATTTCGTACTCTCAGCTGGATGTTTCGGTTGTGGAATTTTCGTTGTTCTTCATCTGAACAACATCATTTAAATTTCTGATAAATAATTTGAAATTGACCTTAGTATTCTAATTAGTAATGATAAATTTTTTTATTCTGTTCAATTAAAAAACGATTGATTATATACGTTACAGAAATTGTCATTCATTTCGATCGATATTTTGTTCGTTTCGATAACCTTCATCAAGAACAACCAAACCAATACGTGCTATCAGACAATAAAATCATCGACTCTTTAATTCAGCTACATATAGATAGATACAGACAAACTTGTTACGGTTTGCGTGATCGTCGTAACCGATTGTTTGAGATTATGAATGACTTGGCTCATTGGAACTGGTCTACATGAATACACACATTTGATTCCCTTGAATTCCAAGTTTCCTAATTGTGTCGAAAATTATTTATTCTAGGAAACTACATTTGATTCACGAAAATTATTTTCCATTCCTCTTATTTCCTAAAACAGTTGATACCATTACATTCTTTACTACTATGGATTCACTTTGCCCTGATTTAGTACAGTGATTTCGCATCACAGACTAATTTTCTCCAGACACTCATTGAATTTCAGGAAGCATATATTCACGGTTTTGTTTTCAAGTATGATTGTTATGAATCACACTCATGTATAACTTAACCAGGATATGAATACACAGCCTTCAGGCAACACCATGAGCTCTTAACCTGCGTTAGAATAATTTGGTAATTACAGTGATATTTGTGCAACAGAATCAAAATTAAGAAAATCAATAAGAGTTGCTTTTGACGGTTTGTAAATATTGAAAGAAAATTTGGATCTCAGATGGATGATTGAGGTGGTGTTGCGTTCTCTGAGCTGGATTATTTGGTTGTGGAGCCTTCACTGTTCTTCATCTAAACAACATCGTCAGTACTAACTTCATTTGGAAATGAACGTTGTTGATCAGATCAAAAACACACTGCAGCACACTTGAAGTGCAAAAAAGCGAGGAAAATATCTAATGACCATCTACCAAAAGAACGGCTATCCACGCAACTTCATCAAGAAACATTGACTGAAATCGTCAACCGAAAAGAAATCAAGTGCAGGAACCAACAAACGGATCATTCTATCATTCATAAAAGAAAATGAAACTGACAGCACGACTATTGAGGTCATTTGAAATAGATGTAGCAGACAAACCAACAGAATCACTTCAATCAGTCAGTGCTAAGTGGACCAAATGACGAAATGACAAAGGAAGACAAACCAAATATCATCTATAATATAAATTGCTCAGATTGTGAAAAACACTACATAGAAGAAAGTGGACAATCACTTGAGCTTCGTTTACTTAAACACCAATTAGCAGTCTAATGCCATGACTTTTCTTCGCTCATAACAATACATAGGGACAACTATGGACATAGCTTTGATTGGTATAATGTGGAAATATTGGATGTGGAGAGCATAAAGAACACGAGGAAATTTTTAGAAACTTTGCATTCAGGTCATTCACCTATCAACAAACACATCAAAATTGACCCAATTTTTCAACATACCAGAAGAATCTTAGGCAACGTAAGACCAAGAAATAGATCAAAGGAGGGGCAAGGTAATATCAAGATGCAGATCAAAAAAGGGATACAATCAAAATCAAGGTACAAACAACGACAGGTTTGACGGTCAATAATAGCCAATCAAGATCGAGGTTAAATAAGCTAGTTACGGGTCAAAAGTGGAGAAATGCAAATAATTCATTTCTATCTGACGTTCGTGCTGATTATGTTGCTCAGAAGAACAATGAAATCTTCAATGCTGAAGTTTACAGCTCAGAGAACGGAGCATCGACTCATTCATACATCTGATCTACGATTTCCTTCACCATCTGAAAAACCTCCAACTAAATAACTGAAGTAAAACTAACTATTTAATATGCATTTGCGATTGAATAAAAGCTAACCAGAATACAACTTTATCATAAGTTAGTACAACACATATAAGTGAAAAATAATGTTTTCGATTGGATCATCATCAGGCTACTCTGATATACATGAAAATTGATATGAAAATTTTAAACCAATCAAGGCAATTTATGAGTCAATAATCACAATGAAATCAAATAGGTCACGTCAGTACACATAATAGACAAAAGTACAAATTAATAGTAGGAAGACCATGTGTACTAATCATTGTGGGAAAATTCAGCTGTTCCTGTGGAGATAACTATATCGGGCGTACCACCAGGCAACTTCACCAACGAATGAGTGAACACCTACCAGTTTAAAACAATACGCAGTCCTATCTTAGCACATCTGGTTGATATTTGTCATATTGAGAATAAGTGTAGACGTTTTCTGGTAGTCTATCGTATACCTTCATCATTTCTCAATGGGTTTTGATCTAGTCTTATATACATAGCTGAATCTATAGGCATTGTTCATACATTCAACACCAACTTTGCAGTTCAGAAGAAATTCACGACACCGCTATCTTTTCCGTGGTCGGACGTTTTGAACAATCTTTTGTGTTTCATTTTATTTTTGCTATTTTTAGCATTATTTTCACATCCTGTATTTGTTGGTAATTTTCTGACGCTTTCCGTTTATATTCGATTATGTTCGAACTTCTAATTACGTAATGATTATTTTAAGTCTACTTATCCATGCTTGATTTACAACTGATAAAACTTTTGTTATCGCATTTTATTCTTCTTACTACATCTGTCTTCCTATTGTCAACTTGAACTTTCACCTATTATGTGTAATGACGTAATCCATTTCATTTCATTGGGATTATTGACTCATGAATTGCCTTGACTGGTTTAACATTTTCATATGAATATTGATGTATATTAGAATGTAAAGCCTGATGATGATCCAACCGAAAACGATTTTGTTCGCTTTTATGTTCGCTTATGAGCATGTTTATTAGGTTTGTAGTTGTGTAGTGAACGAGAATACAGGTGGGGCAACCGAATTGTATTTAACGAAAATTACAGAGTTACTCAGTAAAATCGGAACACCATATCGTAAATCGTTAATTTGCAAATTATCAGTCCATCAAATCGAACTGGACTGTTCCTGTTGCAAAACATCAATCCGTTGTCACTATTCATGCGTTTCATACAAATTCCATTGTGTTCTAACTCTTCCTTTCTTGATCTTCCCCCATCTTCTGCTGCCAGACATTACGTTGACACTCACGTCATATACTACTTATAAGTAGCTCACACCACAGTTGCAAATATCTAGAAAATTGGCAAATAAATTAATTCATCTTTATAAAGGCAAAATCTGTTTTGACTGATTGACCTGTCATTGCAAAATGTTTGGCAACTGAACCTCTTTTTGCACTGTCTTCGCCACTTTACAGCCACGTCGGATAATGTTCGTGAATTTCTCTGAGATAAATTACTCATTGAACAATCTATATCATTAGTTACTTATAAACAATTACATTGATAAACGCACTATTATTGCAATTATTTTCATGTGATGAAAATATTTGTCAAAATTCAGATGTGAATACGAATTGGCCGAAAAGAGAACTCTGTTTACCGAATACTTTATGTTTTGTAACTCAATGAGCATATTCCGTTGACTGCAACTTGTCTAACTGAGACTGTGATGAAGAATGGACATGTTTGACAAAAAAGAAAACGGACATATGTAGAGTATTTATTTTGGCATTGTCATTAGTTAACTAAACTTAATCAAAGTTTATTACCGGTCAAATGAAGTATTTAATCTATAAAACAAAATAATATGTAATCAAGAAAATGAATCTTAAACTTGAATTTTAATTTGTGTATTTTTTTCTAGTGATTACTTATTTACTTAGTTAGTTAGTTAGTTAGGTATGTGCTAGGTCGGAATAATTAGATCATATTTACAATCGTATCAAGGCGCAATAAAGATGAGCAGTAGTTAGTGTATGTAGGCGGAATTTGTTATGCACACTAATATTTTCATTTGAAAAATGTAATAGAATAATCAATAAATCAATTAAAACTTCCATTTTTTAAAATTTAAAAAACTCAAGGGGAAAAACTTCGTAAACCTTAGTGAAGTTTGCATCAGCGCATAAATTACAATCTCAAGTTTGCGTCTAATCTAAACATTATAATCACTAGATGTATTGTTCAGAATATGTCGGTTGTAAATTGAACACGAAAATGTTCATTATTAATATAGAACAATGGAATAATTTAATTTAAGGATGTCATTTGTATGATTATTGCCTTCTAGATGGTCAAGGCTTTGACATAAAAGTACGATAATCGATTATCAGAACGTACGCTAGTACTAACTTACTGTAACTGAGATATTTACATGGAATGAAGGATCCTAGTGGCCAAACATATTGTAATTGGCATCAGCAGTACCAGAGAGCCATAGATGTTATGTTCGAAAACTTTTATTAGAAAGGTCTGCTCACACCTATTTTAATCAATGTACATCTGTTGTTTATGAATGGAATCAGACGAATTCTTTAGTCTGATACAGTGAACGTTTAAATCTGCTTCTAATTATATCTCAATTCATCCAGATCATGCATGATATATATCAACTAACTCAACTCGAGACTAATTCTGAAACTTATGAATAATTTATTGAAACATTTTGAACCACTTTTAGATGTTTACGTAGCTTATCATCATTCACACATTTTCGTTTGTTCTAAATTTAAAAATATCTAGCAACCGCAACATTTCTAATCAAAGCTAACATATATACAGACGTTAATGGAACCTATTATCAATGGAATTCCGACTTGGACAATATTTCCTCAAACGAATATATGACATTGGCTAGCACTCTTTGTAATTTGGTAAGTCGAATACATACTTTTTCTACACAGAAACAGAAAACGTGTATTTTCTGTATGTTATGTAGTTTGATAAATATAATCACCTCTTTGAATAGATCAATAAAGATTTATTTTGAATGCTGCATTTTTCATAGAAGAATGAATAAGCTTATAAATTTTCATTGAGTGGATTATGTGTGAATAAAAGTTAAATACATTTACACCGAGTAAAATGCCAGTGACTGAGTATATATAATCTTCTGCATTGCCTAATAGTGCGTTAGATTACTCCTACACGAAGTAACAGTTTTGGTACATGTAGCCAAATGACAAACGTTCTACCAAATCAAGATAATTTAACCGATCATTGCTAGAATCGTATCAGATATAGTTTGAAAGCCATTGATAGCTCTTATGTTACGTGTGAACATGTATGAAGTAAAGTAAGCGATCCGCAAACATGCACAGATACAAACGACCTTGGTATAAACAAACGATTGACAATAACACATGAAGAATAGATTCATCAATTTGTTCATAAATTTGGTTATTCCCTTTGGGCTCAACATAAATATACACAGAAAACAATAGGTTAGCTATCAAAGATATCAATGACAGGATTTCTACACTATACTTTATACTCAGCACAATGTGAATTAGCTAGGACTTGTCAATGCTGGAGATGAGAAGTTATCGTCTTCTAAGGACTTGTAATTTTCTTGTGTTCATATAAAATTTTAACACAACAGGCTTGTCGCCATTTGAACAATTATTGATTTTATCTACACATTTTCACATGAATATCTTGCTTTCATTTTTTATTCGTATATATATCATGAAAAACTACATGATGATCACTTGAATGTGTTGATTGTTACTCTTTCAAAATCATGCAGACTATTGATAGTTTGTCGCTTGGAGATCCATTCCTCTCGAATAGTGCACAATGTGTTAAAGTTGTTTTCAAGCCAGTTGACATAAATTTTCTAAATCAAAATGAACAATCGATCACAACACAATCGTCAATTGATAATGTGAATAGTACTGGTGTTCAAGTCAATATTAATATAGAATTGTTTTCTGTAAATGCTTCACTTATTAATGAATCTACATTGTACAATATTCTAGTCAGTGGTTATAATCAGTTGAATAAAACACTGAATATATTTGTTCAGAACATTGAGATATACAGTGAGTGAGAGTGTTTTGTGATTATTTGTGATTATTTAGTAAATATAATTTATTTTCGATGAACAAAATGATTACGTTATCCAGTAACTATTTATTGATAATGAACAATGACCATTTTATTAATTTAACTAGTATTCTCAAATGTTGGTTGAAGAGTCGATAATAAGTTTGTTTAGAGTAAGCACATGTTAGTTGTGAAAAGCAATTGTCCAAATCTAATCAGTTTGATGGAATGAACATGATAGATAAACTTTCAGAAAAGATTTAAAATGATCTGAGCTACCATGTTTAAACAAAATATTTGTTAGTCAATAAACTGATTGATTGACTGATTGATTGATCAAGAATTCGTACGTACCGTAGGTAAAGTGCAGCAAAACATGATTTAAATTTCATTATTAACAATCATTCAATGAAAATCGAGTGAATGAATGATGAATATGAATTAATTTTCTTCCTCTGTAAATTGCGTACTTACCTTTCTTATCCCCATAGGAGAAAAAGCTGTTCCGGATCATTTTTCCTAGTTCTATGTATTTGCTATTCCTTTTTGCCCCAACTGCCTTCAACTCTCTATTCAGTGTGTTTTATGATCTGTGTGTTTTCATTTGGCCTACAGAGTTTAAATTCATGTTTCTTCTGGTGATGTAGCTTGTTGATGCCTGCAAAGATTATCATCTTCATCCAAAGCGCGTTTTCCTAATTTCCTCCTCACCTATTTATCTGGTATGTATGTACTTTCCCACAGTCATTTGTTGTTGATGGTATCTGATCTAACATAGAATTGAAACTTGTTGCTGCGAGTTAACTTGAACTCATTGAGTTTTCCGGTATTAAACGTTTGTGATGTTATCCTCTCAGTTTTTCAATGTTACACGAGCTTTAGTTTCAATTGACTACTAGTAAGTGATGATTTGATGACAGCTACTCTCTTTGTTCTTACATATAACATGATCCTTCTGAACGTTCCGATGATTCAGATGTGATCAATCTGGTTCTATGCAGTAGCTTTATATATATGTCTATAACCATTTTGTTGAAGAACATACATATCAATCACCTTCTGTTCGTTCCTATCCCTCAGTCCACGTCGTACCGTGAAGTTTTCATATCCAGTGCCTTCCATTCCTTCAAAAAAATTGAATCCTTAGAGGATATTTCTTCATGATTGACTGCAGACTCGCACAGAATTGATTTTATCGTCTTCATAAATATCGATGACAGATGCATAGCACTGGATGACATTCATTGGATTTCTCCCTTTCCTTTATTTTTAAATATTTGATGTTGACAGTGTACCGTGTCCTGAGCAGTATACTTTGGTTGTGTAGCTTTCACTGTTTTTCCGAACAACATCATCAACACAAACTTCAGATAGAAATGAAATATTCGTACGTAACACCACCATCGTGAAATATACCTTCACAATAAAGAGAAGGGCGATTTCGAAAAACGTTTTTCATCAACACGACTACTGAGACTACTTGGAATAGATTTAGCAAGCAAATAAACAAAAGCTGTTCAATCAATCCTATGCAGACCAGAAGACAAAATGACGAAGAAAGAAAAGGCAAACGTAGGATCAAGAAACTAATCAGAGTGGGGATACAATCAAAACCAAAGTGTAAACTACGAAGGATTTAAGGTCAAAAGCAACCAATCGAAGTCAACAGAACAAGCTATGAATCAGTCGCGTAGAAATTCGAATAATTCACTTCTATCTGAAGTTTATGCTGATGATGTTGCTCAATGAAAGCTGCGAAAACGAAGTATACAGCTCAGTGAACGGAATACCACCTCAATAATATACCTAATCTACAAATTTTATTCACCGTCTGAAAATTCGATGATCCTATGACCATAACACTATTCTCTGTTAATTCGTCTTTTCGCCTTCTTTGGATAGGATCAGTGCATCTTATTGTGCATTTGTATTTCATGCAATTACATAAATTGTTGATCTGATTTTCAGAACGAGGATCATTTTCCTGGCTTCTGAAGAAACTCGGCTATTTGGATTGAGCTTCATTACCTTTCTTAATGGAGGCCTTCAAACTTTTATTGCAGAATATAGGCGGTTCAACTTATTTGTTTTAGTTAGCGTTGTGTTTATCCAGTTGTTTTTTTCATGAAGTGAATTTGAAAACCCGATGCCACACCTCCTCCCCATTTCATCCAGGCGTGTAACAGGTAGCTCAAAAGGATCACAAAACTAGTTTTTTTTAATGCTAAGGTTTATATGGTATAACCACATTCACTTATACAGCTGACTTACTCACAACGCAACAAGCAACAATCGCTGAAGACGTACTAGTACGTTAAACAGCAACAAACAGATGTCAGTATATCAGAAGTTAAAAAAAAGTTGCTATGTATTAAGGAATTTAATTTCGAATATCCTTCGGATCGCACTGGACAGTACTGTCGTTCTTGTGGAAAAAAAATTAGTCAAGGGAGCCGATGTTCAACATAAATATGATTTTAAAAAGACAGTAAATAGAGCTCATTGATAAAATTCATCGTCGATAGGATTAAATTTTGTATTTTGGATGATATAATCATAGATAGTAGACAGAAATTCAGGATACGATATTAAAATGAAGTTTCTGTTTTATGATTTTGAAGTTAACATTCAGTTTCTGGAATGATTTAACTAAATAAATCAAAACTAATAATCTGAATAGAACTACATTATTACCTAACTACCTAAGGCAGACATTCCAAGCAGAATAACTTGACTTTACCATAAAAATCTTTAGTTTGATCGGAACAATTCAAACAGATGACAAAAAAAACATATTACTACTAAAGAATCAGCAGGAAATATACATCAGCAAAAGAAGCTCATGAAAAACAAGACGGAAATTGATCATCCTTTTATATCTGTAATAAGTATAAACACAAAATCTGAAAACATTCACAATGAATGTTGATTCTAAGTGTTAACCAAAGAATCCTCTCACATTTGAAGCAGGTTATTTACGCTATTGCATTGAAAATTTCCCAAGCAGGAAAATAAGTTAAAAATAAGACACCTAAATAGATTGAAGTGATATAGTCACACTGAATCCATCCTGAATGGAAAAATACGAACATTCAGAGAACTAGAAATATCAGTAGTGGAAAATATAAAACTCAAAATTCTGTGAGTAAAAAAGACACAGAAAAAAAGATATAGGTATAAAAACAAAACCAAAGAAATAACAAAACGAGATATAAACGAAAGTCAGACAGATAGATAAATCAAACGAAAAATATATGTAAAAAAGAGATACGATGAGTGGTATTCGTTTCGCGTTGTGAAGCCGAGCGTGGTTTGGATCAATGCAGCGAGATGCGCTCGACCTTGTTTGTTGAGCAACCGTACTAAGGCCTGAACCATATACTAACTAACACATGTGACTGCGTTTATGCCGGACAAATGAAACTGACTGGAATACCACGAACATGAGTGTGTCTTCGAGATACACCGAGATGTATACATACACATAGATGTCGACAGTGATGCAGAAGTGAGAGGGGAGAGATGGTGAGCGAAGAGTGAGAGTGGTTGAGAGTTTGAGAGAGTGCGACAGTGAGAGACCGAGAGACAGAGACAGTGAAAGATAGAGATAGCGAGAGATAGCGAGGGAGAGAGCGAGAGCGAGAGCGACAGTGTTTCCGTGATTGCTCGTGCATTTGTGGCGAGAAGTGTTTCGAGCAATATTTTCACCTCGTGCATTTCACCACACAATATTACCAGATGTTCAGTGTGAATTGTTTTTGTGCATACTCACACACTAGGCATCTCAACGGATCGTACGAGCGAGCCATCCACTCCGCAAACCACCACGTCCATTCCGTCCGATCTGTCCACTCGACCTCCCGAAACCACAACATCAACTACTCCAAGTCAACCACACACCGATTCATCAATCGTCACTAGTGAGTCCAATCAACATTTAAATTATAGTAATTTGTTGCACTGCATGCATGTGTTTGTGCTGTGATTTCACACCAGTGTGTTTGCTGTTGATGCATTATGTTGTAATATTTTCTCTTATCCTAATTTACTGTTTTTATTCGTCGTGCATGTTTGATCATATTTGAAAGCAATGCTATGACACGAATAGTTATCTGAGCGTCACGCATTCTGGTGTTTTGTGCTTTCACGTTATTTTGTTGCGCACTTCACTATTTGCAATTGTATAATCATCCAATAAATCTAGGTCAGTGAGTTATTCTAGTTCAATGTGTTCGACAGGCCGATGTGATTTCGTGACAATGTACTGTGAAAGAATTGGTTGCATGTTCCTAATTGCATGATAAGTGGTAAACAATGAACTACTCATAGTTCCACATTGAACAACATCGCCTTTTCAGAATACAACCTTCTCACTGAGCAATCTGCATCTGGCTCATCACTGAATCGAATTCCGATTCACAGGTGACGGACGCTTTCACACATTATTACGACCAGATGCATCGAGTGATCGTTGGATATGTATTAGTAGAATGACCAGAGCAACAGGATAATGCCTGTGTAGACGAGATACGTTGAGTGGTATTCGTTTCGCGTTGTGAAGCCGAGCGTGGTTTGGATCAATGCAGCGAGATGCGCTCGACCTTGTTTGTTGAGCAACCGTACTAAGGCCTGAACCATATACTAACTAACACATGTGACTGCGTTTATGCCGGACAAATGAAACTGACTGGAATACCACGAACATGAGTGTGTCTTCGAGATACACCGAGATGTATACATACACATAGATGTCGACAGTGATGCAGAAGTGAGAGGGGAGAGATGGTGAGCGAAGAGTGAGAGTGGTTGAGAGTTTGAGAGAGTGCGACAGTGAGAGATCGAGAGACAGAGACAGTGAAAGATAGAGATAGCGAGAGATAGCGAGGGAGAGAGCGAGAGCGAGAGCGACAGTGTTTCCGTGATTGCTCGTGCATTTGTGGCGAGAAGTGTTTCGAGCAATATTTTCACCTCGTGCATTTCACCACACAATATTACCAGATGTTCAGTGTGAATTGTTTTTGTGCATACTCACACACTAGGCATCTCAACGGATCGTACGAGCGAGCCATCCACTCCGCAAACCACCACGTCCATTCCGTCCGATCTGTCCACTCGACCTCCCGAAACCACAACATCAACTACTCCAAGTCAACCACACACCGATTCATCAATCGTCACTAGTGAGTCCAATCAACATTTAAATTATAGTAATTTGTTGCACTGCATGCATGTGTTTGTGCTGTGATTTCACACCAGTGTGTTTGCTGTTGATGCATTATGTTGTAATATTTTCTCTTATCCTAATTTACTGTTTTTATTCGTCGTGCATGTTTGATCATATTTGAAAGCAATGCTATGACACGAATAGTTATCTGAGCGTCACGCATTCTGGTGTTTTGTGCTTTCACGTTATTTTGTTGCGCACTTCACTATTTGCAATTGTATAATCATCCAATAAATCTAGGTCAGTGAGTTATTCTAGTTCAATGTGTTCGACAGGCCGATGTGATTTCGTGACAATGTACTGTGAAAGAATTGGTTGCATGTTCCTAATTGCATGATAAGTGGTAAACAATGAACTACTCATAGTTCCACATTGAACAACATCGCCTTTTCAGAATACAACCTTCTCACTGAGCAATCTGCATCTGGCTCATCACTGAATCGAATTCCGATTCACAGGTGACGGACGCTTTCACACATTATTACGACCAGATGCATCGAGTGATCGTTGGATATGTATTAGTAGAATGACCAGAGCAACAGGATAATGCCTGTGTAGACGAGATACGTTGAGTGGTATTCGTTTCGCGTTGTGAAGCCGAGCGTGGTTTGGATCAATGCAGCGAGATGCGCTCGACCTTGTTTGTTGAGCAACCGTACTAAGGCCTGAACCATATACTAACTAACACATGTGACTGCGTTTATGCCGGACAAATGAAACTGACTGGAATACCACGAACATGAGTGTGTCTTCGAGATACACCGAGATGTATACATACACATAGATGTCGACAGTGATGCAGAAGTGAGAGGGGAGAGATGGTGAGCGAAGAGTGAGAGTGGTTGAGAGTTTGAGAGAGTGCGACAGTGAGAGACCGAGAGACAGAGACAGTGAAAGATAGAGATAGCGAGAGATAGCGAGGGAGAGAGCGAGAGCGAGAGCGACAGTGTTTCCGTGATTGCTCGTGCATTTGTGGCGAGAAGTGTTTCGAGCAATATTTTCACCTCGTGCATTTCACCACACAATATTACCAGATGTTCAGTGTGAATTGTTTTTGTGCATACTCACACACTAGGCATCTCAACGGATCGTACGAGCGAGCCATCCACTCCGCAAACCACCACGTCCATTCCGTCCGATCTGTCCACTCGACCTCCCGAAACCACAACATCAACTACTCTAAGTCAACCACACACCGATTCATCAATCGTCACTAGTGAGTCCAATCAACATTTAAATTATAGTAATTTGTTGCACTGCATGCATGTGTTTGTGCTGTGATTTCACACCAGTGTGTTTGCTGTTGATGCATTATGTTGTAATATTTTCTCTTATCCTAATTTACTGTTTTTATTCGTCGTGCATGTTTGATCATATTTGAAAGCAATGCTATGACACGAATAGTTATCTGAGCGTCACGCATTCTGGTGTTTTGTGCTTTCACGTTATTTTGTTGCGCACTTCACTATTTGCAATTGTATAATCATCCAATAAATCTAGGTCAGTGAGTTATTCTAGTTCAATGTGTTCGACAGGCCGATGTGATTTCGTGACAATGTACTGTGAAAGAATTGGTTGCATGTTCCTAATTGCATGATAAGTGGTAAACAATGAACTACTCATAGTTCCACATTGAACAACATCGCCTTTTCAGAATACAACCTTCTCACTGAGCAATCTGCATCTGGCTCATCACTGAATCGAATTCCGATTCACAGGTGACGGACGCTTTCACACATTATTACGACCAGATGCATCGAGTGATCGTTGGATATGTATTAGTAGAATGACCAGAGCAACAGGATAATGCCTGTGTAGACGAGATACGTTGAGTGGTATTCGTTTCGCGTTGTGAAGCCGAGCGTGGTTTGGATCAATGCAGCGAGATGCGCTCGACCTTGTTTGTTGAGCAACCGTACTAAGGCCTGAACAATATACTAACTAACACATGTGACTGCGTTTATGCCGGACAAATGAAACTGACTGGAATACCACGAACATGAGTGTGTCTTCGAGATACACCGAGATGTATACATACACATAGATGTCGACAGTGATGCAGAAGTGAGAGGGGAGAGATGGTGAGCGAAGAGTGAGAGTGGTTGAGAGTTTGAGAGAGTGCGACAGTGAGAGACCGAGAGACAGAGACAGTGAAAGATAGAGATAGCGAGAGATAGCGAGGGAGAGAGCGAGAGCGAGAGCGACAGTGTTTCCGTGATTGCTCGTGCATTTGTGGCGAGAAGTGTTTCGAGCAATATTTTCACCTCGTGCATTTCACCACACAATATTACCAGATGTTCAGTGTGAATTGTTTTTGTGCATACTCACACACTAGGCATCTCAACGGATCGTACGAGCGAGCCATCCACTCCGCAAACCACCACGTCCATTCCGTCCGATCTGTCCACTCGACCTCCCGAAACCACAACATCAACTACTCCAAGTCAACCACACACCGATTCATCAATCGTCACTAGTGAGTCCAATCAACATTTAAATTATAGTAATTTGTTGCACTGCATGCATGTGTTTGTGCTGTGATTTCACACCCGTGTGTTTGCTGTTGATGCATTATGTTGTAATATTTTCTCTTATCCTAATTTACTGTTTTTATTCGTCGTGCATGTTTGATCATATTTGAAAGCAATGCTATGACACGAATAGTTATCTGAGCGTCACGCATTCTGGTGTTTTGTGCTTTCACGTTATTTTGTTGCGCACTTCACTATTTGCAATTGTATAATCATCCAATAAATCTAGGTCAGTGAGTTATTCTAGTTCAATGTGTTCGACAGGCCGATGTGATTTCGTGACAATGTACTGTGAAAGAATTGGTTGCATGTTCCTAATTGCATGATAAGTGGTAAACAATGAACTACTCATAGTTCCACATTGAACAACATCGCCTTTTCAGAATACAACCTTCTCACTGAGCAATCTGCATCTGGCTCATCACTGAATCGAATTCCGATTCACAGGTGACGGACGCTTTCACACATTATTACGACCAGATGCATCGAGTGATCGTTGGATATGTATTAGTAGAATGACCAGAGCAACAGGATAATGGCTGTGTAGACGAGATACGTTGAGTGGTATTCGTTTCGCGTTGTGAAGCCGAGCGTGGTTTGGATCAATGCAGCGAGATGCGCTCGACCTTGTTTGTTGAGCAACCGTACTAAGGCCTGAACAATATACTAACTAACACATGCGACTGCGTTTATGCCGGACAAATGAAACTGACTGGAATACCACGAACATGAGTGTGTCTTCGAGATACACCGAGATGTATACAAACACATAGATGTCGACAGTGATGCAGAAGTGAGAGGGGAGAGATGGTGAGCGAAGAGTGAGAGTGGTTGAGAGTTTGAGAGAGTGCGACAGTGAGAGACCGAGAGACAGAGACAGTGAAAGATAGAGATAGCGAGAGATAGCGAGGGAGAGAGCGAGAGCGAGAGCGACAGTGTTTCCGTGATTGCTCGTGCATTTGTGGCGAGAAGTGTTTCGAGCAATATTTTCACCTCGTGCATTTCACCACACAATATTACCAGATGTTCAGTGTGAATTGTTTTTGTGCATACTCACACACTAGGCATCTCAACGGATCGTACGAGCGAGCCATCCACTCCGCAAACCACCACGTCCATTCCGTCCGATCTGTCCACTCGACCTCCCGAAACCACAACATCAACTACTCTAAGTCAACCACACACCGATTCATCAATCGTCACTAGTGAGTCCAATCAACATTTAAATTA